ACTGCGTGCATAATCTGGTACCAGATGATTATATAAATTATTAACACACATCCCCTAGTTGTAATCATGGATCTACTCTAAGTCGATGAAGTATGTCAGGTAGACTACATCGACATAGGTTGTATTTTTGTCCACATATATGGTCGTGTCAACTAAGTACATTAGATATGACCTCAATGCATATTTTATGTGATACAAAACACGTTCATAATCACATTCGGCCTCCACTTCCGCATCCAGGTGGTATTTGTATAACTTTTCCAAATATGAAAATCTAGCATGAGCGCTTCTCGTGGCATCAATATCTATTTGGACTTCACCCAAGTCAGCTTCCAAATAGTTCTTCATCATGTCCAGTGCATCAACTCTAGAGATTCTGAAGTGGTTTATTAATCTTTCTTTGATCAACAAATGTATGAGGCACGAGTCGTTATCAACGGTGATGGACATCTCACCAATAGGGATATGAAAAATGATGTATCCTTGTGTCATCTCTCTACAAACTCCGCCAACGTGGCATGATTAATGGTATTATACCCAATCAAGCATAAACATTGCAGCCTAGATAGCTATAATACATCCTGAAACCATGCCTCTTTATGTTGTTGTAGGTTCAAAATCTCTCTACTGTGGTTTATGCTTTTCCTTGTGTCACATTTCTACAAACGCCGCCAATGTGGCTCGATTAATGGTATTATACCCAATCAAGCATAAACATTGCAGCCTAGATAGCTACAATACATCCTGAAACCATGCCTCTTTATGTTGTGATAGGTTCAAAATCTCTCTATTGTGGTTTATGCTTTTTACCACAAATCTGTAAACAAAAATGCAACAACATCATTCAAATCAATTAGTATAAAACGGATGTAATACAAAAGAATTGAATATTTATGCTACATATCCATCCCATGCATGCCTCATGGAAGATGACGTTAGAGACCTATGAGCTATAGAAGTCGACACTCCCGGATCAAATGAAGTCGCACCAACTAGTGATCACGAGGGTTTGGGCTTCTACCTGTGAACCAATGCATGTTGGAAGACTTGGTCATGCCTTAATTTATGCGAGTTTTCAGCCATTGTACCTATAATAAAACTAAAAACTCATATCATAATCAAAATGTTGCAGGTAAGCAAAATCTGGAGATGCATCTCTGTAAAAAGTTGCGACGACAGAAAATACAAAAAACCCCTGTGGTGCCCTAAACGCCAAAAAATTTGAATGCATGTTTATACAAGCTACATATTTAAAATGTAAATGCTACCTAATGCATCTTAAGTAACCTATTTTACGAAATTCATGCATCATAACTCAAAAAAAGGAAGTAAAAGGGAAACTTATCGATTAAGAGTTGTTATGTGAAAGCTTGAATGAAGGGAATGAAATGTCTTAAAGACGATTGTAATGATGTATAAATAATATTGAAGCTTGAAAATGACCTAGTTGATTCTTGCTCACAAGCTCTTTGAAGGGTTTTTAAAATTGTAGCAAATGAAGAAGGAAAGGGAAACGGTTTGGCGCGAGGTTAATAAATTAAAACTCGTCCAGAGAGAAAGAATTTGAGAAGTGTTCAATAGAGCATGGTGTGTATGTAAGGAGAATCAGGAGTGAGATGCTTATACTATGTCTATGTCGACAACTTGTTGATAATAGGCAGTTGTAAGAAGTAGATTGAAGATTTCAAACACGAATTAAGTAAGGAGTTTAAAATGTCATACTTGGGAAATCTCTCATACTTCCTTGGCATCGAATTCTACAAGAGTAGTAGAGACTTGATGATGCAAAAAAGTAGATATGCAGGTGAAATACTCAAGAGATTTGAGATGCAAGATTGCAACCCAACTTTGACTCCATATGAGCCCAAATTGCAACTGATAAAATATTCAACTGAAGATGCTGTCGACCCAACTCAGCACAGATGACTTATTGGATCACTTTGATATCTCTGTCACACAAGGCGAGATTTATCTTATTGTGTAGGCATGGTCAGCAAATTCATGTAAAAGCCAAAGGTATCTCATCTTGTAGCCAACAAGAGGATAATGAGGTATCTCAAAGGAACATTCGACTATGATATTTTGTTTCCCTCAGTCGATGAAGGAAAAGAGTGCAAACTTGTGGGTTACATCGACTTTAGTTGGTGTGGTGATGTTGAAGATAGAAAATCGACAACAGGATACGTGTTCATGTTAGGTGGTGTGACAGTCGCATAAAGTTCAAGAAAGGAACCAGTGCTAGCTTTATCATCATGTGAGGCTGAATATATAACAACTTTGTTATGTGCATGCCAAGCAACATGAATGATGAATTTAGTCGAAGAAATTATAGGGAAGAATCATGGAGCAATGACCATGAAGATCGACAACATGTCAACCATCAACTTGGAAAAGAATTCGATAGCACATGGAAGAAGAAAATACATTGAAATGAGGTTCCTTTACCTGAGAGAGCAGCTAGCGAATGGAAATTTGAGCTTGGAGCATTGCAGATCACAAAATTAGATTGCAGATATAATAACGAAGGTTGTACTCGTCGAATTGTTCAAGAGATTAAGAACAATGATGAATGTAGATAACTTAGACACAATGAAATAAGTGGTGTGTTAAATATATAATTCTTTGTGTCAATGTTGAAATAGTATGTTTGTATTCGACGAGTGCCAAAATTAGTTTGTGTCGAACAAAGTTTGTATTTTCTATATTTGGTTGAAAGTAAAATATTGCCTGTTGAAGCATACACTCGAAGCATGTAGTTGTTGAATGAGTCGACAGAATCGAAATAGAAGATTAATTTCGCTTAGTTTTAGTTGAGCTAGTTATTTTGTGATTAATTAGAGTGCAAGTAATATCATCTACAAATAGAAAGGATCTCTATTTCATTTGTATCAAGTGTAAGAAAATATTGTGTAGTTTATAGAATCACATTTGTGATTAACACGCATTATCAAACACTTAGAGTGCAGTTTGCACAACAACAATATATTATTCTTCTTCCTCCAGAAAATATATTTTCTCTTACTTTCGATTGCATTGTTTTCTTCTTTCGATTTTCTGTGTAATATAAAATCATCTTGCAATCAAAGAGTGGTTGTTTCACCTGAGTAAAAGGTGAAGAGGCAAGAGGTGTGATGAATCAGAAAGATTGATTCTTGTTCATCAAAATTGATTAAGTTAACTTCAAGATTGAAATTTTTCCAACAATTATATGATACGACAATAATCAAAATAACTTTACAAATTAAATTTGTATTTGACATTATTCTCATTATTATAATATAATTATTTCTATTGCAATTAAACTAAATATTTCAAAACTGTTTAAATAAATGATATAATTAAAAGGAAAAGGTACTATTTTAAAACTATATATATTCTTAAATTCTTTGTTCGTGTGATTCAAACGTCCCTTGAAGCTCTTCTTTTGTCATACTTGATAGATTCTTAAATTCTTCTTTGGCTACTACCACATGATCGAACTTTAGAGTCAATGACCTCAAAATCTTTGACATTATAGATTTTGATGTCAACACTTCTCCACATGTTTTAATTTGATTCACCAGTCTGGTTACTCTTGTGAAGAAATCAGACATGTTCTCATTGTTTTCTATTTGAAACAATTCATACATTTTTTTGTGAGTTTGTAACCTCACATCCTTCACTTTCTCAGCATCTTCAAATGATTTTTTCAGGATGTCTCATGCTTCCTTTGTTGAGTATACACCACCAACTTTTTTAAAATTGTCTTGATCAACGCATTAATGGATTAAAAATATATTCTTATAATCCTTCTTCTTCAAATCTTTGTGTGCAGCCTTTTGCTCATCCGTAACATTCTCTACAATTGGTGTTACTCTATTCTTCACAAGATCTCAAAGATCTTAATAACAAAAAACAATCTTCATTTGTTTGCACCAATTTTCATAATTCTTACTATTCAAGATTAGAAGATTTGTTATAAAGTGTCCATTTGGATGATTTGTCGTGATCTAATGTGTCTCAAAGATCACATAGTCAGTGCTCTAGATACTAGATGTTGGAAAAACTTCAATCTTGAAGTTAACTAAATCAATCTTGATGAACAAGAATCAATATTTCTAATTAATCACAACTCTTGCTTCTTCACCCTTTACTCAGGTGAAACAACTACTCTTTGATTGCAATATGATTCTACACTAGACAATTGAAAGAAGAAAATAATGCAATTGAAAGTGAGAGAAAAGAAATTCTGGAGGAAGAAAAAGAATGTAACGTTGTTGTGCGAACTACACTCTAAGTGTTTGATAATGTCTATTTATCACAACTGTGATTTCAAAAACTACTCAATATTTTCCTACACTTGATACAAATAAAATAAAGATCCTCTCAATTTATATATGAGCTTAGTTGCAATCCAAGTAATCACAAAATAACTAACTCAACTAAAACTAAATTAAGTCAATCTTCTATTTTGACTCTGTCGACTCATTCGACAACTACATGCTTCAACAAGTTATATTTGACTTTCAGTCAAATCTAGCAAGCATAGACTCTGTTCGACACACTAATTTTGACACCCGTCAAATACAAACATACTATTTTGATTTCGGCACAAAGAATTACATATTTAACAATCAGATGATATTACTATAGTAGAATAACTTTAATCGAAATTAAGTTGTATAATAAGATGAACGTGTCTACTAAATAAATGGTTGATATTTACAAGTCTAACCATTATATATATATATATATATATATATATATATATATATATATATATATATATATATATATATATATATATATATATATATATATATATATATATATATATATATATGAAATATCCCACCACGATGCAAACTCACCTCAGTCAAAACAAAAATCTAGAGACAGTGCCATGGCCACACGTTCATAAAAAAGAGATGATGTGAATAGAACAGAAAGTGTGAAACCTGAAATAGAGTAAGAAAGAGCTTTGGCTAAAGAGTGAGAGTAATCATCATAATCATATAGGAATGGCGACTATACCATCCTCTTTGCCAACAAATAATAAAACCATTTTCTCAGTTTCAGCAAGACCACAATTTCTATTTCCTTCTTCTTCTCTTCCTTTCATTTCCACAGCAACTATCATCCATTTCCATAACCATTCACGTACTAACAGCCTTAACCTTCGGCGACGGTGTAATTCTGTTACAAAATTGTGTGTGGTTCCATTGCCAACAACAATAGCCATGACAACAACTGAATGGTATATGTTTCTTTATATACTCCTTCCTAAACAAACATGTTATTGCTATGTTTGTTTTATATATTTATTATGGTTTAGGGTTCAACAAGATCTTCCACCACCCCTTACTTCAACTTCACCTTCACCTTCTTTATTTGATGGAACTACCAGGTTCTTTCTTATCTTCTTTTTCATCTAACAAATGAAACTCATGTTTTGAACCAATTCCTTATTCATTCTTGTGGCTCAAGATTGTATATCTCCTACAAATGTCCCTATGCACAGCGTGTATGGATCACCCGTAACACTAAGGTTAGTTCTCCTCTATAGCACTGACTCCTCTGGAAAAAAATGTGTGTCTGTATCAATATTAGACACCGACAGTTGTAATGGTAACAGCAACAAGATCTCTATATTCTGGATGCAGGGATTGCAGGAAAAGATACAGTTAGTTCCCATTGATTTACAAGACAGACCTTCCTGGTATAAGGACAAACTCTACCCACCAAACAAGGTCCATACAATATTTATCCTTTTTTGTTCTTATAGGTTTGTTGTGGAAAATCAAATATTACCACATTCTAAAGAGTGTTTTTTTATATGTATTTCCATGTTTAGGTTCCATCTCTTGAACACAACAATGAAGTTAGAGGAGAGAGTCTTGATCTGATTAAATACATTGACACTCACTTTGAAGGACCTTCCCTTTTTCCTAATGTAAGATACATCATTTTCATCTTCACTTTTGATGTTTATTTTCAGGTTTAAAGTGTAAACTAAAAAGGTTTATGTCTTTGATATAAATAGGATTCTCCTGATAAGGAATTTGCTGAAGAAATGATATCTTACACAGATACCTTTTGCAAGACAGTTGTTTCTTCTTTTAAAGGAGATGTAACTGAAGCTGGTAAAATGACACTTTCTTTCTTCAATGTTGTTTTTGTTACATATAAAGAGAAAAATAGTAAAATGAATGTGAAAATTTGATGTTGCTTCTTTCATTAGGCACTGCTTTTGATTACCTTGAGAATGTTCTATCCAAGTATGATCATGGACCTTTCTTCCTTGGCCAATTCAGTTTGGTGAGTATATGCTCATCTTGATTTGTAGCAACGGCAATGCATAATGTACATTGCTAGTGAATGTTTATATAGAATTGAACTTGACAAAGAGTTTATATTATTTCAGGTGGATATAGCATATGCTCCTTTTATAGAAAGATTTCAACCCTTTTTAATGGATGTGAAAAATTATGACATTACATTGGGCAGGCCTAAAGTGGCAGCATGGATTGAGGTAGAGCATAGAGTAATATCTTATTTATTTGTGTGCATGTAAAATACTTGATCACAAGAATGTTCATACTGCATAAACTTGTATCCTGAGCTAGACTCAAGAATTCAAATTGTGTTCTTACTACAGGGAATAAACAACATTGAAGGCTACAAAATAACCCGTTCTGATCCCAAAGAGCTTGTAGAAAGCTATAAGAAGCGCTTCCAGGTATCATAAGGCTGAACTTTACTTTCTCAATGCCACTCAATTGTTGTGATCCTTGATCCATTCTTATCTGCAGGCCAATACATGAATACAATGTTGGGCATCATAGTACAAGTCAAGAGTTTCAAGATTGATCAGAAAATCAGTGTCAAATGCAAGATATACGTGAATCATACTCCAAGCGCCCATCGCTAAATATATTGATTCTGTCACCCCAAAAATGCAACATAATGAACCAATTATTATGGTATATGAAGATGGCCATGAGACTAGCATGCATATGTTTAGTATCTTGAAACAAAAATTATATTATCAAGTTACTATTGAGGTAGTGGCCAAGTAAATTTTTTAGGACATTTGTAATAGTAAATTTCACCTGAATAATGAAAGTGTGTCCGAATTATTTATCCGAGTTGATCTACTAGCATACACACTTGTGAGAAATAATTTATACACGACCATTTAAATGACAAATGTTCTAGTGTTTACATTGTAAATACTTAATTAAACTACTTAATTAAACTGATTATCCAAACATAGCCTAATTGAATAGAAACAGGTTCAACTTCCTAATGTCCATAAGATACTTCCTGATGTCCATACTATCTTAGTATAAACTTGATATAAAGAAGTTTTCAAGTCATAGTTGATTCAAATAAATCTCATCTACTCATTTGATCAACACTTATCTATGCACACAATAGCTGCATGAACGCATGAAAAACAGTCATCATATTAACCATAAGTATACATTGAAATTTGAGATTAATTGTTATGCACCGTCTCTGTAAAGAATTTTACTGTCAATGCATCACAATCATCCGTTAGTATTACTTTTTAAGTTGTTACAATTAAAGTCAAACTGTTCAAACAAATCAACGGTTATAATTAACTATCAGTGTATATCAATTAAATTCTTGAAATTTAACTTATGGTGTGCTTATACTTGTATATAATGAACAAAAATAACATAAGGTAATTGTAAAGGGTCGTATAATAACTCCGGTTTTGAATTTTCTCGGGTGGCAAGTTTCAGAGACACCAAAATCCAGTTGCTTCTTTCTTTCTTTCATTTTATGAACTAGAATGACAGGACAAAAAATGCGTGTGGATGATTTTCAGGAATAAGAGAAATGGTGCTGTCTTGTGCAGAATAAATATTACATTTACATGCCACCAAAAATGGAGCTCCCTTTCGTGACGTCGGCAGTATGGTAACCTACAGGAGAATTGGAGCCGCAAAAAATTGGATATATATGTGAAATACATGGAGCATGAAGCATGCTACCTCAACAACACCTTCCAAATTTTCCTCATATATACAACCAATGACCATAAGGCAAGCCCTGCTGAAGTATAAAGCAAAGCAACACCAGACCCCACTACAAAGGCAGTTCCTCCATGACTGGAAAAAAATTTGGGAAAATACAGAAAATCCCATCAGTCAATGACAGCTGAAAACAAGACTAAGCATTACACGCTTGTAGTTTAGAGCAAGTTATTAGCTAAAAGATAACCGAAGTATAAGCTCATGCTTTTAAGGAATGAGTTGTTTCACATAACTTTTCTTTTCATAGAATCTCTAATCTAATTAATAGTTAAAGTGTCCTCAAAATACAAATTAAGCTTATACCTCGAGTCCCGGGTTGCAAGGAGGATGGCTAACGCAGTCATCTGTGTGGCTGTTTTCCACTTCCCCAAGTTATTTACAGCAACAGCCTAATATACAAAGTTTCATGATATAAGCTTGTAACTTTGTGCTAATTCCAGCTAGTTAATTCAATTTCAAGTGTACAGAAGATGAAACAAACCTCTAAAAGCTTACTATCCTGGGAAGCGGCCCATTCCCTAACAGCAGACATGGTAATCTATTTGGCAAGTAACATGAAATAAAAAATTATAAGGTATCTGATTTGGTCACTAATGCGAAACCAGTAAATCAGAGCAAAGTATGATGTCTCAAAAGCATAAGAAAAATACACGAGGATGGCTAATTTACCATATAAATATGGATCTCAGTGAGTCAGACAATTAAGCTTTTGGGTAATTATATACTAATTATGCATCATCGACATGCCAAAGCAAAATACAATCACAGGTATATATACGAGATGGAAACAAAATGTCACCCCTAATTAAACTATCAGAGATTTCGCTCCCAGAGCACCGTAGGTTAAAACAATTGATCATCAAATGCTTGAAAAACAAATTCGAGATCCAAACAAGGAAAACATGAATTCTCCATTCCCACACACAAGAAAACTGACTATCTAACCCACCTTGGCTTTGGCCCAGTTCATTCAGTAGTGTGAAAAATAACATCATTAGTAATTCTTATTCTTTGACTGTTAAGGTGAACACCAGCTTAATTGTAAAGGTAAGTTGGTGTAGTAAGAGTTCATTGATTTGTACACATAAACATGTTACAAACAAAAACATCAAAGAACAAAATATGAAAAATGGCAGAGATAAAGAAATATAATAATACAAAAAAATTAAGATGCGTGAATTTAGTGATACATGAAGGACCCTCACACGGTTCCCAGTGATGTAAAGAAAAGCTTATTAATTAAGCACGCATTAGAAATCATATAAGTATTCATTACCTCTCTACCAATGATGGCAATGGCAGGTATAGGGAGTAACCAGGGTGCTTGTGCAAACAAACCAACATCCAAAGGTCTAGTACATAATAAAACCAATGTGGCAGCAACCATAAGCTGCATTGAGTAGAACACATTACACACGCATGTTTAACATTATTAGTTTCAATACAAATTTTCTACTTTTAGATTCCTTAACATGTACCTTTAGGTATATGCAATTGCAATGCATCAAAAGTTATGGATTGGAGGAATTACCTTGTCAGCTACAGGATCTAAGAATGCACCAAATGAAGATTTTAAATTCATCTGCATTGCAAATAAAAAATTTAGTAAAGAAAAAAGTGAAAAAAAAAGGAAACATTCAAGGTTTTAAAAACCAGTCCTCGAAAACTGCCGCGACAAAACAGTACCGGCAGTTGCCAATATTGATACCCTTATTCAATGTCGCAAAGCCTCTAAGCAAATGCGGCCATTTTTTTTCAAAACCTTGGTAGTGTGTGAAATGAATTGAATAACCTTGCGAGCAATATAACCATCAAGCCAATCTGTAACAGAAGCAGCAATGAAGATTGTGGTAGTAGCTACTGTTCCTCGCCAGCCATCCATATAGAAAGCTACACACAACACAATTATATACAAAAATAGATAAAATTGAAAATGAAAATGTTGCAGTACGCGGAATAGGGGAAACACTTACTGGCAACAAGAAGCGGCACGGCGGCGACACGGCCAAGAGTGAGAATGGTGGGTAGAGTGAGCAATTTGGAAGATTGTGGTTGTTCTTGTTCTGGTTCTGGCTGTGGTGGAACGGTTGAAACTAGGGCTTTTCTAGAAAGCCCCAAATTGGCGGAGAAAGAGGGGGTTTTATTGGAAATTGGGAATTTAGTTGCGGAGGGGGTGTATCTGAAGCGTTTGTGTTGGTGGAAGTTTCGGGAAGTGATGGAGTTTGAGAAAGGGATGAAGAGGGGTTTGACGGCGGTGGTGGCGGTGGTGGCGGTGGTTTTGGGTGAACGGACGTAGATAGAAGCGGTTGCGGTCAGTTTAAGAGCCGACATCATCGATCACTAATAACAACAATCAGACCAATTAAAGCAGATTGTTTATTCCAAATTCTCTGCAATTCTTTTATCACGGAAACTAAAACAATTGTTGTTTTTTCAATGGTTGTGTTTGTCGGTGCAAAGGTAGAATAAATGATGAATAGAAAAATATTCTATTAAGAGAATGACGGCTACAAACACTACTACAAAATTGCAATGATTGTTACCATATTTATAAGCTAATACTAGGGTTATTAGAATAAGATAAAAATACTAAAATACCCTCTAATAAACTTAGGGGTTAAGAAAATAGTACAACTAATAAATATTAATTACTTTTAATATCATCCCTTAATTCATATTTCATCAAAACTTGTAACACCAATTTCATCCCTTAGTCTGAGAAATTGATCAGTCTTGATAGCTTTCGTCAGAACATCTGTCAATTGTTTCTGAGTGCTGCAGTGTACAACTTCTAACACTCCACTCTGAACTTGATGTCTCAAAAAATGATATTTGGTCTCAATATGCTTACTTCTTCCATGCAACACTGGGTTTCTGGAAAGATTGATTGCAGACTTGTTGTCAATCATCAGCTTCAGAGGTTTGTTTATTTTAATCTTCAGATCCTGCAACAGATTCAGAATCCACATAACTTGGCATGCAATAACAGCACCTGCAATGTATTCAGTTTCACAGGTTGATAACGCCACAACAGGTTGCTTCTTGGAACACCAAGAAATTGGACCTCCCAGAAATTTGAACAAGTACCCAGAGGTACTTCTTCTGTCAACTCTGTCTCCACACCAATCAGAATCTGAATAACTCATAAGTTCTGACTCATCCTTTCTTCCAAAAGGAAATAACACTCCATACTTCAGAGTTCCCTTGATATACCTCAGAATCCTGACAGCAGCTTGGTAATGGGACCACTTAGGTTTACTCATGAACCTACTAACCATCCCAACAGAATAGCAAATATCAGGTCTGGTATTGTACAGATACCTCAGAGAACCAACCAACTGTTTGAAGGTTGTATCGTCCACATCCTTTCCATAAGAGAAAGAATCCAGTTTCTGATTTGTATCAGAAGGTGTGACAGCAATCTTACAATTCTTCAGATCAAATCTCTTCAGAAGTTCTAATTCATACTTGAGCTTATACAAAATGATATCTTTCTCATAATATCTGAACTCCATCCCTAGAAAGTATGTCATTTTGCCTAAATCAGTCATTTTAAATTCATTCATCAGAACTTTCTTGAACTTGGCTATCTCCTGTTCAGAACTTCTAGTCAGCAGTATGTCATCAACATATAAACATACCAGAGTCATATTTCCTTCAGAAGTATGCTGAACATAAACACCATACTCCATCTCACATTTCTGAAAGTTTTGCTTCTTGAAAAATGAATCAATCTTCTGATTCCAAGCTCTGGGCGC